AGACCAAGGTCCTTGGCCCCATAGCTCTGGCAGTTGAGGGGCCCCTCTAACAGAGATGCGGGGGACGGAGGCTGTGGGTGGGGAGTGAAGGCGCCAGGATGGGTGGGGGGCTGTGTGTGGGGAGTGAGAGACACCAGCAAGGCTGGAGGGCTCTGGCTTGGGAGTGAGGGACCTGGACCTATGTTTTTGTGAGCAAAGGGGGCAGAGGGAGCTCTGATTTTCCATGATAAAAAAAACCCAAAATCAAATACCAAAGGTTATAGGTACTTAGAATTTATTTTATTATAGTGATTGAGGCACCAGTAGGCTTCCAAATTGCTTTAAAATTGTAAACATATCAATAAAACATGGTGTTCAGTTGATATATATTAGTGGCATTTCATTTTAATCTCAGTTTTGGGGTTTTTTAATGGAGAACTTGCAAATTTTTTTTTTAAATCAGAGAACTTGCAATATTTAAACAGAGAAAATCAGGATCCCTGATTATCACCTCGAGATACTTTAAATTAAGTAAGGAAAACATGTTGGAGCTTAACCTATATAGTGATTGATTTCTCTTATTCTGTTAAGAAAATTATCAGGTAGCCTAGACTGAGATAAAGATGATTGGGTCACTCATTTCATAACAATCATGTGCGTTTGTCACGCTCTAATTTTAACTCATTCATGTCAGCATTTATGTTTTGAATTCTTACTTTTTAGGAACTTTTGAAGTTCCAACAAATCTTTATACTTTCTTTCTGTATATTGTGGCTGTGTTATAATTCACATTTATTTGGAGAAAAAGAAAATGTATTACCTGTAATTCTTCTTTTCTGCTTGTTTTGAGATACTACCCTCACTTGATTTCTTTCCATCGGAATTGTTGGTAATTTTGTTTTGATCATTGGTGTATTAGATCAATTTGAAAAGAACTGAGACTTACCAGATAGTGACCACAGGGAATGCCTCAGCAAATGTTGTACAAGGTGTAGAGCTTCTTGTTGGTAGTAATTTCTATTTAGCACTTTGATGTGTGACTATTCCAGTCCTGCATGTCATTACCTGGGTAGCCACAGCTGCCAGCAGAATAAGCTGATACAACGAGGCATTAAAGGATGCACACATTTTGCCAAGTTATAAATTCTTATCATGATCAGAAATACTGCCTGTCTCTTTGCTAGTGACTCATTTGAAAGAAAGTTAGTAAATACATTCTAGATTGCATGCCTAATAAGACCATGAGTTTTGACTAAAAACTAATTTTTGTTTCACTCCAGTAAATCAGGAGGAAACTCATCATCCAGTTTGGGTGATATAGTACCTAGCTCCAGAAAATCAACACCTCCATCATCTGGTAAGTAGGTCCTTAACCTTTAGAATCCTCTGTTTACAAAATGAAAGAATTTTTCCTACTATTTGAGTTGGTCTAATAAAAGATATCAGATTTACCCAAAAACTTTTGTTTACAAACTGGTCCATTTACTCCTTTATGATTTACAGTGTATTGCATTATATGTTTTAAAATTAGATGAATTAATTTTCTCATTTTCATTGTTCATTGGCACAGTATCAGGCAGTTGTGTGGCCACATGAGATTGGTTTGTCTGTGTGTTGTAGGAATAAGGGAATTAGCACATTTCTGTGGGCTAGTTCACACAACAAATGGTCATTACTGAATCTTTTTTAACTATTGCCTTGATTTTACTAGGCTGCCATGTTATTATGGTGAAATTAGGAGAAAAGGACATGAGGATAGGTGGAAAAATAATGAAATTGATTGCTTTTCAACCTTTTGCGGGGGTTTTGTGCAACAAAGTTGTCCTTCATCTGTTGTTGTCTTAACTAAGACAGTCAAAGGTTTTTTTTCCTAACCAATTCCTGTTAAATATGGATAATGTTCTAATATAGGAAAATAGAAGATGCTGAGTTGAAATAAAAAGTCCTGTGCGGTTACCTCATTAGCACCAGGAGAAGCATGATTTCATAACCAAGAGCTTAATTTTACACAGCAGATCTGGACTAAATCCTAGCAATCAGTTGCCTTACCTTTTTGTGATAATTCTTTTTCATAAGTGCTGCTTGAATTGAAAGTATTACCAAACAAATTTGAGCTTAATTTAGGTTATGTTCAAGAGATATTAAGCTAGTGCACTTTGAGTTGCACTAGCATACTAACAATAATTACTCAATTAAAGAAAACTAGGACACTTCATCTTTTTTAAAAGTGTTCCAAAAAGATACCCTAGGCATCTGCATGCAACAAAATAATTCTCACTGTCATCTCAATTAGTAAAAACTTTTTCTTGGATTTAAAGATCGATACTCCAATTAAATCAGTGATTCAGCTGCTGTATTACTGTACGTTTCATCTTTTGGCTGAGGGAAAACAGAAGGCTTTAGTCCGTGAAGTTAGTAAAGATCAATGAAAATGACTACTGCTATTAAAAAACCTTTATTTGCAGAGGTGAAAAAAGTGTGGTTATCAAAAGTATAGGTAGAGTCTAGGCTAAATTACAGCTCAATCAAATCATCTTAACATTTTTAAATTGTCTGCAGGTATGTCTACATGAAATGAAGCGGTCCCCAAGCTGGCTGTTGACATACTAGTTAATATACTTGCACAAGGCAGCACTGTGCAGGGTTATCTAAAACCAGAAGCAGCATAGGTGCTTTAATGTTGTGCTATACCTAGACTAAAGATGAGTAGTCTGTGTGCAGGGTGGCACTCATGCCAACTACATTACTTCCAGTGCTGGAGCTAATGCTAATTTCCACTTAAGTTCCCTGTCTGACTCTGTTTCTTAGTTAAAAAAATATATGTATTTCTTCAATTGCCAATATGCAGCCAGTTTGGTTATTGTGCTGTAGCTCATGAGTAGGTATTTGGTTGTATTAGGGCTCTGTAGTATAACGTTTATTGTTGAGGTTTCTGCTTTGCAGTCATAGCATTTTGGTGGTGGACTATAAGATGTGCATGTGTGTATTTTTATGCCAGCTAGACTTCGTCTACAGTGTTATGTAATTCTTCAGATGAAAACTGTCATCCACTGTATACTAAGGAGATTTGTGCAGCAGGTCAGCAAATTGATTTCCATTTATCTGAAATATCTTAAGTAATGCTCACAGAATATCATATAGAATTTAGTGGTATAGTGGCTTTACTTGCATTTCATTTTTTCTTATTTGAAGATTGGGAGAAATAGTCATGAATAATGTATATTTGCTTGCTGGAAATCTTAAGATTTTATTTTGAGAGGGGTTTTTTTTCTAAAATATACTGAAGAGAGGAATTGATAATATTGGGCCTCTAATGCATAGTTTTGGTCACACAGCCTATATACTGTCTCAGCTAGGTCTTCTTGGACACCTCAGTTCTGACTTGTAGTACTCCTGCTTTTTAAAGTCTTCTGCCCAGGATAGAGTTAAAATGATGCAAGCATATATATTAGTTCCCTTTGATGTGGAGAAATGGGAACTAGAAAGAGTTAATCTCACTTTTCAATTTTGAATGCACTTACACTGGGCGCAACTACACAGTGACACTATGTAGCCGTAGCAATAAGCTACGGCAATGTAGCGCCTGCGGGGAAAAACCGTGACACCACCTCTATGTCACCGTAGTAACACGCTCCCTTGATATAGCGCATCACTGTGGTGACATAGTAGCCAAAAATAATCATGCGCCACCAGCACAGAGCAGTATGGTCTGTTATTGCACCATCATTTTGTAGATGTGCCCACATATACACACATATATAATTATATATATATAATTATATGTAAAATTAAACTGACCAACCTAAAGCAGAAGTTAAAAATCAAACAAGCTGAATGAAAACAAAGAAATGAAAAATGATAAAACTGTCTCTCTCTGGAGCTGCCATCCTAACCAATTCATGCAGATCTCATAGGCTATGAAAGAAAACAACTGATACCAGAGAGTGATGACCAGACAATAATAACTGGGTACAGAGAACAGCAAAGAACACTGAAGAAGGTGACATAATATGAAGATGATCAGAAATGAAAAATGAGGACTAAAAAATGGAGGTGGAAAATAAAACCCCAAAATAATAAATGAAAAACTAACAAACAGTTTTTTCTTTTTTTTTTTTAACAATTAATGAATTTTAAGAAGATTTTTAAATGTCAAGTCCTGTTTGCAAAAGTTTTCATTTTAAGAAAAAAAAATTAATTTATTGGGGTAGGAAGAAGGTTAGCCTGAAATTTCACACATCTCTGGTAAAGTCTTTGCTTTTTTGAAAGTTGGACTTTGACATTGTTCCTAGGCTTGAGACAGCCATTCCATATATATTCACAGCTAGGCATATATGTTACTGTCTGCCTAATAGCTGCTCAATTGCTGCAAGCCCCTTGTTTTATAGAAAAGTTATGTTATTTTTTTGCTGAAATTGTTCTAAAGATTGTGCAAGTGATTTAGTTCAACACACACATTTTATTCTGATTTATTTTAGTGGTGCCTTTAGACTGTATTATGCAAATATTTTCTGTTTATTCATATGAGGAGGGAAGTTGTGGGTGGGGGTCACTGTGGCAGAAAAGAGTGTTACATGATTTCTGCATGTCTGGCAAAATTATATGAAACATGAGCATTCAGGAATATAATCTTCTAAAAGCCTATCAGGATCCTGCCATGGCATCCGTAAATAATTCAAATGGGAATATGTGTGTTACACAAACAGAAGATCTCTCTTCTCTGGCCCAGGTAACTCTGAAATCAGAAGTGGCACATAGTAATCTAGGCATCTGTTAATAGATAACACTCTTACCCATATTGATGTGTTTTCACTTATAAGACAGTTGTATACAGCTTACCAGGGTAAATGTATTATAGTCAATGCTATTGTTTATGGTTACGCCAGGGATGTCCAATGTGTTGCCCCTGTGGGCTGGATCCAGACGCAAGTGGGGTTTGTGGGCCTAACGACTTGCCTCTGGAGGTGGGGCATTGGCTGGTGGGTACATTTGCTGGAGCCGCTGCATGGGCTCAGCTCCAAAAAGCAGGTGGAAACCAGCCATCATTCACCCCCACACCTTTTCCCTTCCCACTTATTTTAGTCCCCAGTGGCAGCCAAAACCCCAGAATTCAGCAGTAGACAAGCAGGTGAGGGGGCAAGCACTGGCCTGCACCCCCTGTGTTCCAGAGCTACAACAATGCAGCAACTCCAGCAGCTGTGCCAGCAAGCCCCATAGATTGCAATTTAACAACTCCAGGTCACATGAGAACCCCAGGCTGCTAGCTGGACAGTCCTGGTTTAAGCTAAAGACTACATTCCTTACACAAAAAGTGAGTGTAAGCTGTTTGTAGCACTACAAAAAAGGCAAAAAGGTTACAAAATAGTACCTCTTTGAAAGAGGAACTTGGTTTTTTAGCACTCTATAATGCCTATAAAGCAGCATATAGTGCTACAGGGATCTACAGGAACTCCAGCATCCCACAGTCCTCTTTTCTTCCTCTGTACCCCCTTCAAAAGGGAAGAAAGGCTCTTTGAGAGCCCATCCAGTGATGAGAGACCATGCTAGGACCCTGCTACCACCACCACCACTTCAAGAGACCTGGCAACAATTCCCACAGAGGGTACTCTGTCACAGGTGCTGCTCTTGGTACTCTATCTGCTGGCTGTGGAGGCTGTGTGACTGCTCAGTGCTACTAAGGCTAGGGACAGAAATTACACGTAAACCAATTGAAGTGATCGGAAACCAGTTCAAACTTGTAACATGACAGAAGTTCAGTGCACATAAACCACTTTCAAAATGCCTGAAACTGGTTTAAGATAAACCCTGATGGATGTGGTATCAGACTTAAATAAATTTATTGAACTTCTGTCCCAGATCCCCTCCAGATTCAAGTTGTCTGCTCCAGCCAAGCAGGGAGGCATGCTCTAGCACCCCTGGCTTCTGGCCTGGGCCGCTGCAAGCATGTAGCCTCATTTCCAGAATCAGAAGTGAACATCTGTTCACTTGCTTGTTGATTCAATCTATACAGCTTAGACTAACATGTAAAGACTGAATCACTTCAACTTCAGGCTTTTTGATTGTTTGTACTTAGCCTAAGAGACCACTTGTCCTTGACCTCTCCCCGCTACAGGTAGCAAGGGGCTGTCTAGCAGCTGTTGCTTTTCAGGGGACAGAGCTGGCTGCCAGTAACCAAGCAGGGATGCTGGCCTTTTGAGTCAACTTCTGTAGCTCTCCAGCCAGGGGCTGGAATGCCTGTATGCTTCCTTAACGCTATATTTCTGTAGCACGCCAAAGTGCTAATGTGTTGCTCAGTATTAAAAATAAATGCCTGTGTGTACCCATAAGGTGTTGGTAGACTGATCCTGTGTCCATTTAGCATAATCTTAGGATGGTCACTGAAGACAAATTTAATATAATAGCCATGCTCATAATAGACTACAGTATATAAGAGGGTTTTTGCGAAGGTCCTCTGGTTCCTCTCCTTACAATTTACAATTTCTGCTGGAATTGACAGACATCTGCTGTGCTCTACAATGCAAACTTGACTTTTCTTTCTCTTTTTGCATTCTGAAAACCATTTACATCTGATTCCATAACTTTTTATTGTTTACATTATCTCCACTTACTAACTTGCTGTGGGATGCATTAGATATTTCTGTTGCAAGCTGTTTATGATGTACATGATTTTGTTTTGTGGGGAGGGGTGGAGGAGCAATGGTTTATTGTTTCTGATTCCATCTTACCCTCACCAGATCTTTACTAGGTCTTTTAATCAGAATTAAAAGTATGCTTCTGTGTATGCTTCTGTGATAAAGAAGATATGTGTATGCTTCTGTGACAAAGATACAGTATGCTTCTGTGATAACTGAGATAGCTTTTCTTCCTTCCCCTTGCTATTTGCGTAAGTGTTCATTATCAGTAGGTGTGTTTTTATTATTTCCAGTGATTGTATCTTGTGCCTACTGTACATTTTTAGCTAAATCAAGACTTTGAAAAGTCACTACCAATTATATTCTGCTCTTAGATAATTGTGAATAAGTCTTTAAGTATGTTAGGACGATATTGATTGGTTCATGGAAATTAAAAAATCCAGAAGGGGAAAAAATCTGTCCTTCATGTCCTAAGTGCCCAATATTAAAATCTTAATGTTAAGCTCAAGATGACGCATTTTGATTTAATTCAGTTCTTCAGATGATCCATATATTGTAGGCCAAATTCTGTTATCTTCCATTGGTGTGAATCTGGAGTTACTTTGGAAATATGCTATGAAAAAAAGAGCAGAACTTGGCCTTTTTATCAGTTTGGGAAGAATAGATCTGTTGATGTCTGATTTTTAGTGCTGTAAAATGAAATTTGAAGAAAATGTTACAGTAGTTGTTACAGATATCATCATGTGTTTTCTAACCCTAATGTACTGTACCTTTACATTTTCCCCTTTAAGTTTTGTGTTCTGAACTCATGGTTGATTTTTGACTTTGGACAATTTCATGTTCTTTACTTTTATTTCTTTTTTAACCTCTTACTCCTCTCCCTGCCATCTGATAATTTTGAATTGTTTATCTGTATATAGCTATAGACATAGATGCCACTGGCTTAGATGCAGAAGAAAATGATATTCCAGCAAACCATCGCTCCCCCAAACCCAGTGCAAACAGTGTAACATCACCCCACTCCAAAGAGAAAAGAATGCCCTTCTTTAAGAAGGTAACACCAACTTGCAAGCTCCCATCTGTCCACCTGCTCACCTGCACTGCGTCACATTTCTAGTCCTGTTAGCTGTCTGTGTCCTTTGACAAGCCAATAACATGCATGCTTTGTTATTCTTTGTTTCTTTTCCATGCTGCTGTAGCTAAACAGAAGCAGAAATCGGTAAGTTTACATTGACACAACCTGCGTTTATCCTGCCACTGGCATCATTAGCATTATTACCCACAGTCTAAACAGTACAATCATTTCAGAATTAAGGAAGAAACCTAGCTGATAGGCTGCTGATACTTGATTCCATACATTAAGACTAGCATACTAGGTTCAGTTAGTGACTCAGTGAAATGACTCTTACAGTACTTATCCTTTTTGATGGAATAATACGCCACTGGGAATTTCTTTAAACATTCAAGGAAGTAAAATGCTGACAAATCCATATAATGCACCTCTCTAGTGCATGCTTATTTTATCTGTCTTTGTCTCTTTTTTCAAGTTTTTTAACTTATAATTCAGTCTTTTAAAATCATTATTGGACTCTAATCAGATTGTACTTAAAAAAAAGCAAACAAACAAACAAAAAGCCTTCAATTTTTAATTTAGTCAGTATTTAAACTTCTAATCCACTAGGTGCAAAATCTGCAGATGAGCAAGACCATGGAAAACTGCAGACTTGTTTTGGCGGTCTACTGTGAGTTTTTCCTATTGTCATATATAAATTTTTTCCCAAATGTTCTTGCCTTCTCCTCCATCAGTCAGACTATAGCATCTGAACTATTGGAAATACGATTGGCGGTCCCCTACACAGCCAAGGTTTCTTCATAAATTGGCCAGCAAAGGTGCTACAGAACTATTATAGGCACCCTTTTATTGGGGACTGCAAGATGCACATCTTTGATTGGGTATGTTGTTTATCAGGAAAATATCTAGCAACAGCAATATCAAGCCAAATACTTTCTTTTTCTTTTTCTTTTCTCCTTCCTTCCTTCCTCAAATTCCCTTGGATTTTCTTCATTTTGTTTTTAACTACATACATACATCCACACTTAACAGACGGTCAGTACTGTATGTAATGCTGATGAAGCAGTGTCAGCAGCTCTATGGATACATCTAGACACACTAATGCAAAACTTCTCTATCTTACTCATTTATGCTTCCTCAAAGAATATTAGATTCTTCCTGCCTGAAGAAGGTTCCATTGCTTGTTTCAGTGAACTCCTTTCCTAAACAACACACTTATTATTCCCACTTCTTTACAGAATTGAATGGCAGTTTCTTTGTTCTGAACAAATCTTTTAATTAATCATAATTTAGCTATCAAACTTGCATATGATAAGCAAAATTAAGACTGACATCTCTCTTGGATACTATCAAGGCAAGCCTCTAAACTTTATCTCCAAAAGGACAACCATAGAGGCAGGAGTGTAGCTGATTCTGTACCTCTCTTCATTTTTTGCTTTCACTCATAATCCCAAAATCATTACAAGCGATGGTGGTGATTTATAAATATGTGGCCGATGGTCCTAGTAACTATATGGACACCTACAACTCACTTCATACAGTGAAGTCACTGAACAGGCATCAGATAATAAAACTTCTGCCACTTCTGCTGTGGGGCATGTTCGCAACAGGGATCTGACATGTGAAAGTTCTGTAGTTGTTACCATGAATATAACATTAAAAATACCAGGAAACAAAAAACACCTTCCCAAAGAAACCCTCTGAGTTGCTGCAATATAGGTTTAAAAAAATAAAGCACCCATATTCCATCAAATAAGGTAATTTCTGTATCTTCCCTAATTTTCAAGTACATTAACTACTAGCATGAGTGTAGTTTCATTGATAGCCACCTTATACAAAAGATCTTTTGCATCAGAGCATTGACCCCATAAGCACTTATGGCCTGTAATGCACGTTTCTAAGGGGCATGTCTCAAATGCATGCAAGTATCAAATTATTTACATTCCTGGTAACAAAAGTTGACAGGTTATATCTTCATGCTTATACATCATAGTTACAAGCTTATACTTTGAAACATTTTAAGTTAAATCCTGCACCATGAAAAAATAAATTCAGTTCATGTGCTTATGATGTCTTGGGCACAGGTATTCATTCTTATTATATTACCAATTATGTGATGAAGCTACAAGTAAAAAAAAGAAAAAACAAAAAAAGAAAATTGGTCACAAGATTTTTTTTCATGTCTTAGACTGCTTTAGACTGCTGCTTGTGTAGCATTTTGTGCTGTCACTGTATTAATGTTTGTCTTTGTTTTTTGTGTTTGGAAATGTTGGAAGAAATTGTTTTACCTTTTGTGATTAATTTTGGGACATGTTGAGTACTGTAATAATGAACAATAACAGTATTTTTGATGTTGACTGATGTATTTGTACTATGTAGGCCTTTGAAAAATATATCTGGCATACCTCCTTTTAAGATTTTTCCAGGTTGGTGGTTTTGAATTTGAAACATTTTTCCGTAAAGAAAAAGCAAAAAGAACTAAAAAAAGATTAATGCTTTTTTTTTTTTTTTTATAAGCCAGGTTTGATATAGTCTTGGTAATGTTTTGTGAAAAACAGTTTGATACAAAACTGTTTGATTCTTTTCCTCTACCATATTTGGTTTTAAATTTACAAGATTTTGGCAGCCTTTTGAAAGATGCAATGTTCTCACCCATGTGTTTAAAATACATTACCCAAACATTCATAAATTGTGCATGATACATCAGTGAATTGACCCTTTTGGGTATCAATAAGAATCACTTGTATTAAAAGCTCTATTTATACAAACACTCTGTAAATACTAACATCTATCATTGTTTTGATTTCATTTCCTAGCAATGGTTACATTTAGTTTAGAATTTGTAGGTATGAATATGGTAATGTATATTATAAGCACTTCTATGGGAATTTACAGTGGTGTCACTATGGTTTATTAAGTGAGGCAGAAATACATAAAAGGGAAATTGCTATACTCCTATTTGCTCTCTCCTTCCCTTCCTCTCCTTTGTATAATAGCCATTATAGAATATCATAATGCAGTGATAATATTTTGATAGGAAACTTCTGTGATCAACTCAGATGTCCCAACTCTTCAGTCAGGCAGACCAAGTAAATAGTCAGAAATAGTCCCTTCCATTAACCACACAAGTTATGGCAGAGAGAAGTTGCTTTGTGGAAAAACTTTCACAACTACACCGGGAGAACCAGAAGGGAGAGCAATGAAAGCAACATTTAGGAGGAGTCTTTTGCAAAAAATAAAATGTGCATTCCCCACTCCCCTCTCCTCCCCCTTTTCCATCCTCCCAACCCCAATTAGTAGCACACTCTTTGGGTAATATCTGCCCATTTTTAAGAAGAAGAAAGAAAAAATCTACATCTCCTTATTCCCATGTTAGTGACATCACTGGAAATTCAGAGTTACTCACAATGTAACTGAAGCATTACTGATATTGCAAATGTTGTGCTGAGATTCTGAAAGTCTTTTCTTTTTATGCAGACCGAGCACATCCCTCCTTATGATGTAGTGCCTTCTATGAGACCAGTAGTTTTAGTGGGGCCTTCCTTGAAGGGATATGAGGTAAGTGATTACTACTGATTTTTTTCATTTTGTCCAAGAAATGAACAGTATTTGTTTTAATGGTTTTAAGATGAATAAGAAACAGCATCAATTAATGCCACAAGAAAATCAGGCAAAAATATAAGAGAATACAGGGCAATTTTTTTAAATGATCTTTTTACTTGTTCTTGGAATTCAGACACGAGAAGCTAAAGTGTTCAGACTGTATATTTGTGTGTTACATGTTCATACCATGCCATCAGGAAACATGAGTTTGAAATAAACTTTGAACTACTTATTAGCTATATTTTTACAGTGATTTTTTGTAATATTTATTTCACGTGCAGAATTTTAATCCATTGTTTGTTTACTTTCAGGTGACAGATATGATGCAAAAAGCATTATTTGATTTTTTAAAACATAGATTTGAAGGGCGGTAAGTACTTTGTAATCTAGATTACTTGAAGATAGTTCTTATTTTGAATTGTCACATCACCAAAAAATAATGACTTTCACACCAGGATGCTGATGGAAGAGTATTTTGAACTTAAAGTGCAATTCAATGGTAGACAAATTCTTGCAGTCAGTTGGGGTAGGTAGTCAAAGCTTCACTAGCAGAGAAAATAATAAGGATGGGAAGACTCTAAGAAGAAAAGGATGGCTGCTTTTCTAAAGGTGGTAACTGAAATCCCAAGTGGATAGCCCTTGACCCATTGTTTTTGTGTAAGTGTGGCAAAGGCATAAGCTGACAGAAAGGCTCGTTTGGTTAACCTCATATGATTTAAATGCATATTTCATATGTAATAGTTTCTGTACATGAATAGAGTCTCCACGTTGGCTCAGAGTGGCACTGCGTGTTCTCGGTTTCTAAACATGGAGAGCCTCAGAGCACGTCCAGGATTGCTCCAGACTACTCATCCCTTCCTCCAGCCATCTCCTCTGCTTAATTTCCAGACTTGGGCACAAACAGAACCGGCATGAATGCATGAAGTTTATTTCTTGGTAGCCATCCTAGGCTCACTGTGGAGGCTGTATGGATGCAGCTATGTATGCTCTTCACAATTAAGAATGGATGAGGCGAATGACATCAAAATCTGACATAATTTATAGTTATATTGGGAATAATAAAGGGTAGAAACCATTCTATCTAGCATGTAAGAAAGAAACTGGCAAAAACTTGAAAATGGAATTCTTGTTTTGTAAGGTATAAATCTGTTGGCAGATGGGTATAACAAACCCAGTAGTCCAAATTAGAGTTTGGATTTCCATGATTTTATGGAACAATCTGTTAATGCTATGACAAGAGTCACAGTATTTGACTCCATATATAGCTGTAGTCAGACCATGGCTAAATTATAAAATTATATTGCTATTCTGCACTGTAAAATAATTTTGTTTTCATCTATTAACTACATTGCATACTGAAGGATTTTACACAAAATATATTCAATTACTTTTCTCAATCAGAGAATTGAGACTTGATTGTGTTTTAACTGAATTGCATCCAATGTACTTCTAGAGAAGAGTACAGCTTTTCGTTCTTATGACATCCATTTCCTTCTTTTTACAAGGCAAATAAAATTATACAAGGAGGAAAGGGGAATGGGATAAGCCTGATTTAACTCTTCTGTTTGGAAGAATGTGACCTCTCTTCAGGCCTGAGAGGCCAAAACATTTTGAGAAGGAGCTAAGCCAAGGGGTGCAACTTGGCTCTAGATACCAAAACAAGCTGAGCTAACTGTTTTCATAGGGAAAAAACACATATGAATGATTATGTAGCAAGTCACTGGGAGCAACTGGAAGTAAACATTTGCTTCATCCTCGCTTGCAAACACAAAGTTGAGCCTGTGAGGCACTTGGCCCCTGGCCTTCGCTGTCTTGTCTGCTCATACTTTCACTTTAATGTTCAGTAGTATGAAACATTTAGTGTATTCATGAATCTTTTTTGGCAGTTAAATATAAACTTTGGTCCCTGTTACAACTTCCACTGACAATGTGATGGCTAAATCATAGCCATGTAGTTGTACCGCAGCATACGTCTGGGTACAAAGCATTGTCTTTAGCTTGCTTACTCAGTGCATATCGTTGTGAATGCAGTACCTGAGTTCTGATACCCTAATCAAGATTAGGAGAGAGAGGCAAAAGGTTATTTCTTATAGGACAAATTGTACATTTTCCTGGCAGATATATGTAGAAGGCAGCTTGAGGGGCTGTAAAGCACTGCAAAGTTAGCCTTGCCATGTTTCTTTTTAGTCATCCTAGTAGCAGGTATAGAGAAAGCAGGTGGGGTCACCTTCTAAATACATAAGCCCTAGGAGTCCAAAGGGAAGACAAGTCTATATTCCACAGAGCTCTGCATTCCATTCACCTTGACAGTGTGGCTCTTGAAGTCAATAGACAAGTTGTCATAAGATATTGTGCAAAAGGGGAGAGATTTGCACGTATAGAAGCACATATAGGCTAATTCAGATAGTCAAAAAGCCCAAGGCTGAATTGATTCAGACTTTGCAAGTTTCTCTAAGCTGCATAGATTGAACCGATAAGCAAGTAAACTGACATTCACTTTTCAAACAGGAAAGGTAGCCAGACCCCCTGCAGTGGCCCATACCAGTACTTGGGGGGCACTAGAGCACACCTCCCAGCCTCCTGGCCATGGCAGAGAGCCAGAAGCTGGGTGATTCCCCCAACCATGCCCCTTCCTCAGCCTCTAGGTGGTTGAGGAAAGGGTAGCAGGGAACCCACCCCTCCAGTCCGGTACTGGATCCCTCAGCTGGGAGCAGCCCAGCGTGGGGGGTTGCGGGGAAGAGCCCCAACCAAGGGCTTTATTCTGCCTGCCTGGAGTTGGGAGAGGGGCTGGAGTCCCTTAGCCACAGCCTCTTCTTGGCCTTCAAGCTGGGTCAGAGGGAGGGGGTAAGAGCCTGACTCCTGGCTCTGGGAATGGAGTCAAGCCCCATTGTGGGCTTCTATCCCCCCCCCCCCCAGCGTGTGGCGCTTTTACCCCCCCCCCCCCCCAGCTGGCCTGGAGGGTGGGAAGAAGGGGGTGTAGCTCCCAGCTCTGAGGGCAGAGTCTAGCCCCCCGCTGCTGGCTTCTTCCCCCACAAACATTGCAGGCATGTCTCCCACCTCCTGGCTCGGGGACGGGAAGGGGGGGGGGCAGAGTCAAGCCCCCATTGCAGGCTCCCACCCCAATTCCCTGTGCTGGCAGCACCTGGCTGGGGTCTGGTTCTGCCCCCCACCCCTGGTGGAAGCATCTGGTCTGGGGTCTTGTGCCAGGCTGGAAGGGTGGGTTTTACTAGTGGAGCTGTCTCTGCCTCCCCCCCTGCCCCCCCCGCCCCCTGCCGACTTCCTCAGCCAGCGAAAGGAGTAATAGTGCTCTGACTGGGGAGCAGAGGGGTGGGGCAGAGCAGAGGGGTGGCTGCAAAGTATCCTGGCATACTGGGGAATTGTGAGTTAATTTGAACTGGGAGGGGATCTGGGAGAGAAGTTCCATAAACCAGGTGACCTAAATCAGTTAAGTCTGGTACTACATCCAACCAGGTTTATCTTAAACCAGTTTCAGCTATTTTGAAAGTGTGTTGAACTTCTGTTACAGGTTTAAATTGGTTTCTGATCACTTAAACCAGTTTGTGTACATTCTATCCCTAGCTATAGTGTTTATCGCAGCATTGACTAAGATCTAAGTATCTGCTTTAACTTTCTTCCTGCAGAGAGAACAGTATCACCCAGGTCATGTCTATATAGGACCAGGCGATGCCATATCAAGACAAGCTGCTTCTCTGCTGAGATATGCTATACCCTGGGTGCATCTACAGGTGTGCTTTAATGCACACTAGCCTATTTTAATGCGCATAAAAGCAGCAGTAAAAAACATGCTATTTAGTTCATGCGCATTAAGACAGGCTAATGAGTATTTTCTTATTACCTCACAATGGTACTAAACAATGCACATTAACTAAAGCGCATAAATGCATGTGCAGACACACCCCTTGTGTAGCGTACCTGTGTACTAGCTCCAGAACTGGAAGCAGAGTAGCCGCTTTGGGGAGGTGCTGTGTATGTTTCACTAAGCCGTGTGTGTGCTGTGTCAGCTAAGAGGCAGTTAAGAAGCTTACTGATTCACATGCAGCACCTCAACACCTGGCTATATTGCTTCCAGCTCAGCAGTTGGCATACGCAGAGTAGGTATAGTATGTTTCAGTTTAGTACGGTTTTGTGTCACAAGGAAAATGCACCTCCTTGTGGTCCTCTCAGCCTTTTACTATTAACTGACTGCCTTTTATCTTTGCTTTCCTCCATGATAAATGACACGCCATTTTCTTCAATTATGTTTTACAGTATATCAATCACACGGGTTACAGCAGACATCTCGCTTGCCAAACGCTCAGTATTAAACAATCCTAGTAAGCATGCGATAATAGAACGATCTAACACAAAATCAAGCTTGGGTGAGTATATGCTGTATGATGATAATCAGTAATTGGCACTCAAATACAATCCCCTCAGTTTATATCTAGAACACAGGGTAATCCATTTTCTCTGCTGTGAAAAGAGCAATCATTACAGCCATGGTATCAACAAATCAGAGATCCTAACAGCAGAAGTATTTCTAAGAGAAAATAAGTGTAAGTACTGATTTGGGGTTGTCCTGTACCTGTTAAGGTTTAGCATTAGATTTGTTATTTCTAGGTCATAATGTCAATGGGAATACACCTTTGGATAAGTAAAGCTGAAATATTTAAACAGCTGCTTAGGTGGGTTCTTTAAAGTTGGGGAAAGGGAACCTGACCTTTACTAGAGTGCCCATTATATTTACTGGTATTTTTTAAATTTATTTTTCAACATTGAGTTCTCTGAGGAATTTATCTAAGTGTGTATGTGTGTGTGTGTGTGTGTGTGTGTGTCTGTCTGTGTTTGTATGCAGTGTTAATCTTTAAGTAATGTTAAGGGTTATACAAAAACCTAAAAAAGCCTATATTCACATTCTGCCAGGTTCTCAGCATACATATTGATAGTTGACTATTTTAAATTGAGTCTCCCGAGTTGGAGCTTTGTATAAAGGTGTAAATATTCATTGGGCCAGACAAGGAAACCAATTCAGTACCTTTTGTGCTAAGGACACTCAAATGAGATATAGTATACCCACGGTCAAGTCTCTGCTCCAGATCTTCAAGAGCAAGGACTTGAACCTAGATATATTACATCCAGGTTAGCATCCAAACCAATGCATAGTGGCAGTTCACTTGTTTGCTTCTTTGCCTGTCTCTTGTTCTTTGTGAAAAACTTTAAGAAGTCTCATTTTTGCTGTAATGCAGAATTTAAAAATATTTTGAAATAATAGTATCATAAGATCATAGGTAAGTAGGGTTGGAAATTATAATGAGGTAATTTATTCCAGCCTTCTGCTCAAGACCAGGATTATCCCTGGTTAAATCATGAAAACTTTTGTGAGATAATAACGTTGTTTCTCATTCCACTCTATTGAATATGGTTTTAATGAATCTGTGTTTTCATTTGTATTTTTACCATTTACCAGTGTGTAATTTTTGCTTTTCTTAGACTGGACTACTGTAAATTTGAAATGTATATTTGATTTTCTTATAATCTTGCTTTAGAAAACTCATGCATGAGATGTTGGCTAGCAAATGGAATTGTATATTGAGAAAATGTATTTATATAAATATCTGATGATTGCTAAATAAATTTCATTTTGACTGTTTATATTTGCTCTTTGATAAATTTTGTTCATATGAACATTCATGTAACTGAATTTAGGCTGGTGGCCAAAGTTTATTTAATCATTTAATTAAAAGATGAAGGACAATTTGTTTTGAGCAAAAGTGAAAGTTGATTATAAGAGGGAGGCCATCCAGTCATGGAACAGAAACATGATCATAGTGATCCATTTGATAAATATATTGAGTCATGAATATCTAATACTAGATGGATGATCATAGCAGCAAGAAAATCATCTATCTGTTGCACAGGTTAAAAATAATTTCATACCTATCAATCTATCACCAGCATTTATCTTTCAGAAAATTCCATGTTCATCCATTAATATGCAAAAAAATTTTTTTTAATCTGTTGTTCACTGAATTGTTCACCCAGGTACAATGGCAAACTTCAGCCATTACAACTGCAACATCTTTCCTTGGGACATGCAGTCTTTTCAGTAGAGGTACTTAAAATGCAACTGCTACCATTATCTCAGTTGCTACAATACCAAGAAATGTGTGTGTGTGTGTGTGTGTGTGTGTGTGTGTGTGTAACAGGTAGGACCTGTTATGAAGGTTGGCTGTTGTAGACGTTTGTTTTCAGTTGCTGATAACTGCCAAATTTTTACTGTAATTTTAGAAATGTTATATGCCTCAAGTTGATTTTTCCTGGAAATTTCAGGTACAGCAGTTTAACTCTTTCCAGGAATGAGGCTAAGGAGAAATATATTTTACTCTTATTTTTGAAAGGCTAATAATAGTTTAGCTTGTAAATGCCAATGGCCCTCCTGTGTTTGATATCATTGATATGCTTCTTGACATCCTTACAAAAAAAATACCAAAATATGGTCAAATTATAAGCCTATGAAAAATTGTAATGTGCATATGCTATATAGAGTCTCAATAATGTTTAACAGATAAATCCTCTCAAGATGCCCAAAATGAGTATGCTCCAACGTGGGGCTGAGTAGGACTTTTCCTAGAATTACACGTGTGTTGCTCTGGACTGGGTCAAGTCACAGCTAACACTAGAACAAAGACCAGGGAGTCTCTGCCCTCCACCCTCCCTCCCTCTTCTCTGAGTGCTAACTTAATGACTCCAGACAAAACAGAGGAGCTGGCAGATTTGAATGAAGCTAGACTGGAAGACTCAGGAGTAGCTTGAGACTAATAGCATTATGGGGGTTAGAAGGAAATTAGTACTAGGATATGAGGTAGAGGAAGGTTGGGACTGGCTGTGTGAGGATATTGGCACATGGCTGGGAACTGAGACTGGGGCTATGGAGAGATTGGGCCTGGTTAGGCAAGGACATTGGGATCCAGGGATGGAAATGGTGTAAAGAACTTAGGGTTATAGAGTCAGGGAAAGATTTAAATCAGATGAAGAGCTGGTGGGGGAAGGTTGGACTGGCTGGGTATGGGAAATAAAAGCCAGTGAGGCAAGAAAGGAGGTGGCTAAAGTATTATCTATGTTGTGGGAGATCCAAATTCAAATCTCTGTTCTGCCTAATTTAGGCCAGGGATTTGAACATCTGCCACTTATCACTGGTGTACTTTGACCATTGTTCTGTAGAATCGGTCTTTCTCCAGCACAATGCATATTAATTTCTTTATAGAAAGAGGAACTGCTCAAGCAAAAAAGATGGAGGGAGCCCCATCCTAGACCATCCTACAAGCTAGTAGTTAGGGCTTTCACCTGGGATGTAGTAAATGGAAGTTTAAATCAAACTGAATCAGGCAGAACAAATTCTTGAACACTGGTCTCTGACATCTCTGGTGGGTACCCTAACTTTTGCCTATTCCAGGGCGGGCTCCCTGTGGCTTTCCATGAAAAACCTCCAAAAGTCTTATATTCTTCAAAAACTAGAAAATTATCATGGGATGGGAAGATTGTTTTCTCCTAACTCTCCCATGACAGTTAAATTCTGTCCTGCAGAATGGGATTCTCCACATAGTTCCCATGCTGGTCAGGTCCAGAATTTTCACAGAGGATGACAAAGTTGGGGTTCCTCATCTTCTCTATGCCTGACTTAAAACCCTGGGGTGCCTTTTTCACCTCAGTCTTCACAGGCAAGGTCAGCTCCCAAACTACTGCACCTGGCAGCACAGTTTTGGGAGGAGGTGAGCAGCCAACAGTGGTGAAAGAACAGGTAGGGACTATTTAGAAAAGCTGGACATGTACAAGTTCAACAAGCTGGATGGGATGCACCCAAGGGTGCTCAGGGAGTTGGGTGATGAGATTTCAGAGCCGCTGGCCATCATCTTTGAAAATTTATGGTGATCAGAAGAGGTCCCGAATGGCTGGGAAGGGGCAAACACAGTGCCCATATTTAAGAAAAGGAAAAATCTTTCCCTGGAAAAAACCTTTCTGTCCCTGGAAAAATCGTGGAGCAGATCCTCAAGAAATCCACTTCTAAGCACTTGGAGAAGAAGGTGATTAGGAACAGCAAGTATGGATTCACCAAAGAGAAGTCATGCCTCACTAACCTGATTGCCTTCTAGGACTAAGTGACTGGTTCTGTGGATGTGGGGAGACCAATGGATGTGGTATATCTTGATTTTTAGCAAGGCTTTTGATATGGTCTTCCACAACATTCTCACAGGCAAGCTAAGGAAGTATGGGCTGGATGAGGAGACAAATTGGAGGATTGGGGCAAAAGTAATCTCATGCGGTTCAATGGGGTCTCTGGTGCGCCAGCTGGAGGAGCTCCAGGCCACAGTCCAGAGAATGCGTGCCATCAGGGACTGCGAGCAGGAGATAGACTCCTATTGCCAGGCCCTTCTCCCCTGGGAGGCAGAGGGTAGACCACAGTCCCCCTCCACGCCAAAGGAGGACTTTGGGACCTCCTGCTGTGTCCAGCCAGTGCATGGACCAAGGTGGTCAAGGGCCCTAAGGCCCGCCGCACCAAGTCCCCTACCCCACCAGAACTGAGCAACAGGTACGCACCTCTTGCTGCCCCAGCAGAGCCTGCTGAGTTGCTGGCCTCAACAGGCAACATGGTCCCAACTGCAGCTACCGCCCCTGCTCTCCCCAAGACAAAACGTAAGGTGTTTGTTGTGGGAGACTCCCTCCTGAGGGGGACTGAGGGGCCAATCTGCCACCCCGACCCCTTAGCCCGGCAAGTCTGCTGCTTCCCAGGGGCCCGCATCCGGGACATTACGGAGAGGATCCCAAAGCTCCTTAAACCCACAGACCACTATCCCATGCTCCTTATTCATGTGGGCACCAATGACACTGCTCGGAGCACTCCCAGCCAGGTCATGAGGCGCTACAGGGATTTGGGAGCGGGGCTTAAGGGTCTGGGGGCACAGGTGGTGTTCTCGTCGATCCTCCCAGTCTCAGGCTATGGGCTGAGAAGGGACAGGAGGATCTATGTGGTCAACCAAAGACTGCAGCGCTGGTGTCGTCAGGAAGGCTTTGGCTTTCATGACCACAGCCCGCTCTTTGGCGAGAGACGCAGCAAGCTGCTGGGAAGAGATGGCCTCCACCTCTCTCCCCTAGGGAGGAGGCTCTTCTCAGCCAGACTGGCTGACCTGCTCCAC